GGAAAATTCTGGGTTTAATGAGGGTTCTAAGCCCCAAAATCAGTTCTTGAACAAGAAGGAAAGAAGAAATTTCAAGTCTTCTACCGGTTTTCAAAAGAGGAAGAAGTCGGTGGCTTAGGGGGGGCTGGTCGGGGAGGCAGAGCATCTGGGAGAAGAAAAATGAAGATGAAGAAAAGCAAAACACGTGGCTGAGGACAAAATATCAGCCTTGATCCTTATCCAAATTTCCTTTCTTTTTAGTCCCTCCAGTTTTAAAATTTGACTATCAAACCTCTCAATAATATTTCTCATCAAATAAGTCCCTTACTCACTTTAATACTCCAAAAATTTCGGGGTATTACATCGGTGCTAGGACTCTGGCTCACAAAGTCTTAAGGCAAGGATATTACTGGCCAAACATGCATAAAGATGCCACTTACTTTGTTCAGAAATGCCCGAAAATGTCAATTCTTCGCACATCTGACTCACCAACCGGCAGAGGAACTCACGAACATGGTAGCACCGTGGCCATTTGCTCAGTGGGGATTGGATCTTTTAGGCCCATTCGTGAAAAGGGTTGGACGTGTAACCCATCTGGTTGTTGGTGTGGATTATTTCACAAAGTGGGTAGAAGCTCGGCCTTTATCTAGTCTTACCTCTAAGAAGGTCGAAGATTTTGTTTTCAGCTCGATCATCTGCAGATATGGGATCCCGAATCAGATTGTAGCTGATAACGAAACTTAATTCAATTGCTCCTCATTCCGAGATTTCTGTTCCAGTTATGGGATTAAGTTACAGTTCACCTCCGTTTACCATCCGGAGTCCATTGGCATGGTTGAATCTATTAACAAATGCATTTTAGAAGGTATAAAGCCGAGATTGGAACATCATAAGGCCAAGTGGGCAGACGAGCTCAACAACGTCATCTGGGCATACAGAACCACGAGTCGAACTGCCACAGGTATTACTTTAAACCGAGTTTATTTGAATAATTTCTATATTATTTTACTTTTTCTAATATGCTTTACCTTAGAGCAAATATGCATAATGCATAAAGCGCATTTTAAAGTTATAATCAACTGAAATAGGTGAAACACCCTACCACTTGGCCTTTAGTACCGAAGCAGTCATTCCTGTTCAAATAGGAGTCCCAAGCTTCCGGGCCACTCATTTCGATGAAGGGCGAAATGGACAATTGCTTCGGGAAAACCTTGATCTGCTTGCCAAAGTCAGAGAAGAAGCTCAGCTTCGAACTCTTGTATACAAGCAGAAGCTAGCCAACTTCTACAATAAACGGGTGCGCCCTCGAACTTTCAAAGTAGGAGACCTTGTTCTCAGAAAAGCTGGCCTAACGGGGTTTGAAACTCGTTTTGGCAAACTTGCCCCAAATTGGGAAGGCCCTTATGCCGTGGCCGACCGTGGCCGAAGTGCCACATCCTGGTGCCTATATTCTCCAAGACGTTGAAGGAAAGAGAGTTCCTAGAGTTTGGAATGTCAATAACTTGAAGAAATTTTACCCTTAATAAAATTCTTTCAAGTGTTCTAGGTCTTACTGTTCTTTACGCTTCTCACTTCGTGTTTGTTGAGATTCATTTTACTTCTTATTCTATGTACCCAAGGTCAATTAGTTCTTTCATTTCTTGAACCTCACCTCTGATTAATAAATGTCACTTCACATATGAAGTGCTTTATTTCCCCTCTATTCATTTACAGTGATGTACTTGTTCTTAACTCACTTGAAGAGGTTTCTTTCTCTGTAGTTCGTTTCTGAACTGATTAACTTCTTTTTATTAACTTTCTTTTTTGAAATAGTCTCAGTTCTTCTATCAATATATAATAATAAGCAGGCAAACATAAATAAACACATAATTTCAAAAATGAATTTTCATTCAGAATAACATAAATATTACAAACTGTTTAATAGTCTTTACAAAAAATCAAAAAACAAAATTATTTCCCTGATGGGAGAGGTGGCTCCACTGGCTCCTGCTCAGCTGAAGGAGGTGGCTGAGTTAGCTGCTGCTCATCCGGTATAGGAGGCTGCTCATCGTCAGAAGGAACTAGATGAATCTCCACTTCTGGAACTGGTTGGACCTCACCCACTTCAGTTCCCTCCACTCCTGCCTTCATCTCGCCCTCTTCTACCTCTGCCCCTTCTTCATCCACTGCAACGAACTCGAAGTCGAACTGTGGAGGAAAAACAGCAAGACCGTCTGCATCATCCTCCCACCTCAGCTTAATCTGAGGATGGAAGTCTGCTGACATGCTCTCGCCATCCTCCTCCACTCCTCCTTCTTGCTCGCCGAAGGTGATCTTCGTCACATCCACTTCGGGATATTCAGCCTTCACCTTCTTTCTGCAGTCTGTAAAAGCGATGATGGCAGTGGGCAGCCGGTACAGGTTGACGATGCTATCAAAGGAGCTGGAACTGATGAAGTTGCTGATGTGCTCCTTCATCCCATTATGCACTAACTTCCGCATGTTCCCCTTCAACTCCTTGAATGCCTTCGTCATCAGCTTCATTTCTTGCGCCTGAGCCTCACGCTCGCTTTCAACGATCCTTCGTTTACTCTCCTCAAAAGTGAGCTTGGTGCTCAGGGAAGCCCTCTCCTGCTCCAACTGTGAAACGATTGGAACCACCTCGTTCAGAGACTCTTGCAGCTCCTTATTTTTCTTCTCCAACTCCTCCTTCTCTTTCTGCAGCTAGTCCCGCTGCCTCTGCAAGAGTGCGCGATCCTTCAGGCTCTCCCTGAATTCCTGGGCTAGACCATTCACCCAGTTTGCGCTCTGTAGATCAAAACTGAAGTTAAAAAAAAAAAAAAGAACGAAGAGAAGGCAACACAGATTAACTAAACAACATTGATACTTTAACTTACCTCTAGAACATGCTTCACCACGGACGCTCCACCATACCTCAGAGCTTCCTCCCGCGCGTTGCTTTGGTCCACCTTGGGGAAGGTGTTGTTAATGAACCACCTGGCCCCCGTTATGTTCTTCACCTCGAACAGGCTGCTCTGAGGCCCCAGTGGGGGAATAGGGCCCTTTCCCTTACCAGGAGCTCGTACCTCAGCCCCCTCCTCCAACTGTTTGAGCTCAGGGTCAAGCTCAACAAGAGAAGGCTGAGGTACGAACACAGGGACCTCATTCCCCGTCTCCTCCTCCACCACCCTCTGCTTCTTCTACAGCGCCCTCTTCTCCTCCCAGCCCTTCCTCTTCAGCTGTGGCACCTCCTCCTCCGTCTCAGCTGAAGCCGCAAGCACTGCCTCTTTCCTGGTCCTCCCCTCATCCACTTGTTTGGTTGAAGTCTTTGACTTCTTCCTTGGCTTCTTGGGGATGGCCGCTCCTCCAGCAGTGTTCAGGAACTGGTCCATTTCAGCTGCAAAACAAAAATACATAATATCAATCACAGTTCTATACTCTACATTACTCTACATTCAGTACTACAATGCAGAACTAAACCAACCTTCACTCAAAGCGCTTGGCCCATAGAGCTCAGTAGCCTCTATGCATTGTGCGCTGGTGAGGTCCAAAATATTCAATAAATCCCCCCTTTCCTCACCAACCTCCCCACTTCCTCCTCTTCATCCTCATTTAAGCTAAACCTATTCTGGTTGGCCCTTTTGGCCTTCCAGGAGGCTAACTCCCTCACCTTGGCATCCCCTTTTCCCCACTCCGTATCATCTACAAAAAAGAATTTCTCCTTCCATCCTTTAATGGATGAAGGACCCGCCGTAAACAACGACCTACTCTCCTTACTAGCCACCCTCGGGGTGAAATAATACCACCCCTTATCTCTCCTACTACCCCCCTTTAAAACAAAAAAATACTTAAACATATTTACAGTTGGCACGCTAATCCCCTGAGCTCGAAAATAGACTAAAAATCCTATTATTACCCACATTGCGTTGGGGACCAACTGTGTCAACCCTATGTTGTAATCTAACAGTAAACCCACTAGCAACTCAGGAAGTGGAAACCTGAGTCCCGCTATCAAATAGTGGGAATACACAGGCATCCAGTGATCCCGAGGAGCAGAGCACGCCCTCTCCTCTACCTCAGCTGGCCTAACTAACACTCGAGACGAGATCTCGTAATTTTCTACTAAGTGACCCAGGCTATCCCTGGTCCTTAGCTCAGATCTGTACTGCTTCACCTCCTCCACTATTTCTGCATTCACATCATAATTCCTCTCTCCTCTACCCTCTACTTCTACTACGGTAATGGGTATGCTATCTACCCTAACCCCTACCACCTCATTCCTCCCCACCTCTACCACCTCTCTCTCCCCAACCTCCACCACCTCATCTCCTCTCACCCCCTCTACCGTTTTCTCCGAACTAGATGGAGATGGACTGCTCTCTGCGTCCATGCTCCCATAGTCTAGGGGCATCACCTCACTCCCAATTACACTTTCTGTTCCTTCTGAGGACATTTTCTCAAACTCTGCACGAAGTAGGGAGGAGGAATAAATCAGGATCCCACATAAAAAAAAAAAAAAAAAAAACCCCTTTGTTGCACATTCCAAATCCTTCTCGCCTCTAACCCTAACTTCCTTCAAAGGACTCTAAATCAATCACAGAAAGGGAGAAAGGAGAAGTGACACTTCGATTAACTCAAAATCAGAGGTTCGTCATACATTACCTGATTTCGGTTTCGAAAGATTTGATGTAGAGATCCCCAGTTGTTACCGTAGTTCACACACAGGAAACGCACAATAAAGCTTTTCGCAGAAGTTTTGCAGAGAAAGGAATGCAAGTAAACCTCCCTCTGCAGAAAAAAAAAGTTTATTTATACTTCTGGGCAAAATTAGATCTCAACGGCTAAGATTCATTTAATCTTACGATTCCTATTTACACCGTTTAGAATTCGACAACCAACCCCAAACGGTACCGTTTTGAATTTGACGATTCATTTTTTAATGTTTGCCCATTTAACTGCTACAGTTACCTTTTTACGGCCACATTTATTGCACCCGTCATTCTAAGGACAACTGTCACACCCATGTCAGTATTTTTACACAGGCCCATTTACGCTCATTTCAATACCTTTGTTCACTTTTATACATTCTCAATTTTGTGAGTGTTTCACCTCGGCTTCGACCACAATAATCATGCATTATATTTCACATCGGCTTCGGTCACAGTGACCCAGTATCACACATTTTATTTCGGCTACGGCCATTATGACTCCGGTCATTATATTTTATTATAGCTCCAACCGTTATGACTCCGGTCATCATATTTTAAGCCCAGCTCAGCACTTCTGCTTACTTTTACAATTACACTTTTTGATGGGCAAAGTGTTTTACTTCAGCTCCTGCCACAAAGACATGTTCTACTTCGGTCCTGGTTACTGCGACCACATGTCACATACTCTACCTCGACTCTGGCCCTTATGACTCCGGTCATTTTATTTTATTACGGCTCCGGCCATTATAACTCCGGTCATCACTTTCCATCACGGCCTTGGCCTTTATAACTCCAATTATCATTTTTTATCATGACCTTGGTTCCATTATAACTCCGGTCATTATTTTCACCACAACCACAGCCATGATAGCTCCGGTCATATTCCATTTAAGGCACCCCAGTATGACCCACTGTTATGTATTTCATTATTAGCTACGGCTATGTCTAAATTTAAATTACAGCTTTCTTCCTTATACTTCCATGACTTATCTGTAATTTCTTTGTTCATGCACTCCTCTCATTATCCCCAGCAACATCATTCACAAGTGAATGACTTCAAGGTGGGAATAATGTAAGGACAGGTCCGAGGTGCCAAGCCTTGGACTGCTACAGTAATTCCTTTATGACCGAGGTGAGAAATGAATCCAAAGCTCCCTGCTCAAATAACCGCATGACAATGATAATAAGCATGCCTGCACCTGATTCCTTATGACGAGTGGCACAACAAGTATGGTGGACATCCGTGCATCTGAATACCTCTCAAATTCCCGATCCCGAAATAATCGTCTGAATAGACACGTCAGGCTCTGATTGTCCTGCTAAGCAAGCCACGTGAATACCTCACAAAGGCCTATAAATACCCCCAGGGTCCACCTCAGAAAGGTAATTGAAACCAACCCTAAGCTCTTTTTATCTCCGCTCTAAAGGTAACCCCGATTATTGCTAACTTAAGTATCGGAGTGTCTACCCTGAGTTCCACCTTGGGGCTTTGCAGGTCTTCCCGGGATGCAAGCGCGGACTGAAGAAGGACTCCTGGTTTGGTGCAATTACAGAACAGCTTAGCTAACTTCTAAATAGTGAAAATCTTGAGACATCACTGTGAATAATCGTACATGTAATTTTGAACTATTTTTGTACAAAATCCCGAGTGGCGTTTACAATAAGTCTACTATTTTTCATAATTTTGGTACAAAAATTGTCAATGTTCAATATTCATCTTCTCCTTTTTAAACGTAAAAACTCCAGGGAACTTCCAAAGCTGGGAGGCTGAGACTTGGTTCAGCTTGAGCATTGAATTGCCAATTACCATCAAATAAAAACTCACAGAAACCAAACCACCAACAGGCAAGTATGGCTGGTGTCCTTTTTATGTCCTTGCCACTGTTGAATTCTGAATTCCACCTATTAATGTACCAACCCTCTCTCCCTTTATGGCTTTCGCAATGTTACCTGGTTTGGATAGATTGAAGACAACCACTGCATCGAGGAAAACAAACTTAGCTCAATAATTGCCCATTTGTATTTGTTCATGCAACAGCCAAATTAAAACCAACTACAAGTGAGCAAGTTGTAATATTGATGATGTACGCATACCAGGAATATTATTTTCTTGGCACAAAGTAATCGCAGTCATGTCCATTACGGAAAGATCTTTTGAAGTCACCTCATGATACGTTAATGTATCCATTAGACAAGCATTTGGGTTATTCCTGGGGTCATCATCATAGACGCCATCAACATTTGTAGCTTTTAGCACGACCTCTGCATTGACTGGACCAAGAAGTGAATAATGCCACCAGACAAAACCGTTAGCATTGCCTTGGTAATAAGATTCCAATTATTGCCAAAAAAACAGCCTAAAATAAACTTTGTTCACAAAAGGTTGAATGCTGTTAGATTTTAAGAGCAACTTATGCAAGATTCAGAATGTCTTCAAACTCACAGAAATATAGCAAGTAATTTAGCATAAGGATATCATGGAAGTTTCAATATGAAAATTAGGCAACTTTGTCACAACCTCTTCTATGTTTCTGACAGAAAAAGGGACTTACTTTCTGCACAACGAAGGGCTGCAGCAGTATCTGTGGTGAAGAATGGATTCCCAGTTCCAGCAGCGAAAATTACAACTCTTCCTTTCTCCAAATGCCTCACAGCCCTTCGACGTATATATGGCTCTGCAACCTCTGACATCCGAAATGCAGTTTGTACACGTGTTGGAATGCCAATACTCTCCATTGTTGCTTGAAGAAATATAGCATTCATGACAGTGGCCAACATTCTAGCAAATTGAATAAAGATGTAAGCCATAATTTTCTGATTTTTGGGCAAATTACTTTGTAGTGGTTTGGTCTCATTGTTGTTCTTAATTCAGTGTAGATAGTAAATTGTGTCCTAATTCAGTGAAAAAGCTCCTATAAATGTATTCAAAGTTTATTTGTTCAAGATAATCACTTCATTAAATGTCTTAGTTGCCCTTCTTCTTCATTGATTAACCCTTTAGTCCCATTTTCTTTCCACATATGAAATTCATTGTTCGCAAATTGGACCACATGGAACTGAAATTGAAATTTCTATGGATGAAAAGTCTTCATGTGCAGTTTGTGTGGAGTATTAACAGACTTAATTTGCAAAACCGAGTTCCTACTAGATTTAATTTGCTGAGAAGAGGAGTATTAAGTATTAACAGGAACAGCAGAGGTCGCATGCAGTTCTGTGGCAAAAAAAGAGGAAGATTGTGATCATTTATTTGTAACTTGTGAATTTGCACAAAATATTTGGATGAAAAGTTGCAGGTGGTGGGGATTGGGGAATCTCAGGGGCTATTCATAAATCAACGAAGGATTTCTTTTTACAATTTGCAGGGATGAATCCTTATAACAGAGACAGTGACACTTGGATGGTTATTTGGTTCTTTGTCATATGGACTATTTGGAAGGCAAGAAAAAAAAAATCTTCAAAGAATTGAAGATTAACGCAGAGGAGGTACTGGAACTAGCTCAAAAAATCTTCAATGGAATACGAAGAAAATGTGGCTATGAATAAGTACAATGGTCCAATTTCTTTAGATTTGCATATAAACATTAGGACATGGTTTCTATGCATTTTGATTAATTAAGGATTTAGGAATTAACACATATCTGTGTGAAGGGTATTACAGACTTTTTTTGAAAAAAGCCCTGATACACTTATAATAAATTTTGTTAGTACTTTTTCACCCATGCAAGACAGAAAGCTAGGTTTCCACTTAATCTTGAATGAAACTCTAACCAAACCACTTAAGAATAATTTTCCCATTTTCCTTTCTCCCTTAATCAAAGAAAGGTACATTTGACCTTAAAGAGAAACATTGACTTGAAAAATAAAATTTGTCATCCTCTGAAGATTTAGCTTATGTTTTGCTTGGAATCATCATGGTATTCAACAAAATTTTCTGCTTATTCCTTAACAAATAATAAAAAGGTTATTCAACTTCAAAACTAAATTCAACATATGATAATTTAACATGATAAGAAAGAGACACAGGATAAGAATGGGAAGTGGAAAGCATGTTAAACAAGACAGCTCTGGTCAGATTAAACTGTAAGGTGTTGTTAATAATATTAGCATGCATTAAATGAATTCTGAAACTTACCCAATGTAATCAGCAGATGAACGATCAAGCCCACTGCTTCCTGCCCAAGAGGATCCACAGAAGATATTTCCCCCGCCAACCACAATAGCAACCTGTGACAAGTACCCAATATCACTTGGTCACCACAGCTAAAATCCAAAAATAATCTTCTCTTTTTTCTCTTTTTCTTTTGAAAAAAAGAAATGATTTCAGTCATTTACTTTGGCAGCATTATCTGTTTCTTCACACAAATTTCCCTTCAATTTCTATCCAAAAAACATGGAAAACTGCTCCGAAATATCAATATTACAATACAGTTTTATACTCACAAACTATAATTGTACGATCTATAGCACAGAATTGCATAAGTAATTGGAAATGATAGAAAGAAAAAAGTTTAAGAACTACAATTTTTATAGAGAAGTTGAAGGAAAAGTAGGGAACAGATAAAGCTATGGAAGGTATTAGACTAACCTCGACACCAAGGCGAGTCACTTCTGCAACCTCTCTTGCAATAGCCATTGTAATCTGCATTAAAACAGTCAAAAGAAAATCATAAATTAGTATAAGAAAAGAAAAGATACAGAATTGAAGACAATGATTCACATCACAACCTTTGGATCAATGTTTTGTGCATGATCTCCAGCTAGTGCTTCTCCACTAACTTTAAGCAATACCCTTTGCCATTTATAAGATGGTTTGGACATGCTGGTTTCACTCATTGGCATTCCAATATTTGTCATAGGTGGCATTGGTGACCGCCTGCTAAAACGGTGAAGTTATTAACATGGATGCAAAGCATCAGATATCCTCAATGCAAGCAAAATAGCAAGTAAGAATTAATGTTCTCAATTCATTATGCTGATTCCACTCGGCCAGAAAAGATGTTCATGTTCAGAAAACAAATAAACGAAACATTGAACATGTCAAAGATAAAAATTGAATAGCCAATGAGTCAAAATCCCAATGCTAAGATCATACATGTGGCATACTGATTTGCTACCAACCTTCTAACAAGGATAGTTATAAAAAGATAACAAATTGTAAGACCTTAACAAAATGATAAGGCTGTTTTGTGGCCATCCAATCAAATATAAACATGTTGCTTAGAAGTTTCATATCATCTGTGACAAGTAAGAATTTTCAAGATTTGGAGCAGTAGAGATTAAAGAAAACAGAAGCGTTGATATATTTTGGTCAAATGCATGATTTGGGAAAATCAACTTGCATGGAACCGCAAAAACATGTTGCAGGCAAAGTATAAACTTGTGGAGGAACGCTATATTATGTCAAAAAGGATAAAAGATTATACCTCTGATGCTAAACATCAACCGACTTTTACAGTCTGCCAATGAATTACCCAAGGAAAGGAACATATATAATTTAATTAGGAAAGTACTGAATATAAACATTTTCTATTGTCTATACGGAATTGACATGCAAGGATTTTTTTTCCATGTCCCTATAATCAAGGCCAACTCCGACCACATTTACAGAACACATTGGACCAATTTCCATGTTATAACTTATAACTCACCTTTCTCATGGATAAGATATCATCCACCACGCATTAAATTTCACATCCTTAAAAACTACTCAAAGCAAAAGCAACAAAAGTGCACAAAAATGGCAAATATAAATTATATTTCAACAAAGTCCAACAACACCAAACAGACCAATCAAAGAACAAAACCATTATAAACAAATCACTTCTCATAGACATTTCCACGAACAGATAATAGACATACAGAATGGGTAACATACTCAAGCCCCCATTGACATTTGATACACACCTTAGGTCCATGGAATTTGAGGTAGGACCGATTTCAGGAGAAGACAAGCAGTTGAACACCAACCGTCCATTTGAGCTCAGATGCTCCGTCTTCAAGCTCTGTTGATTGCTTTTGAAAGGACCCAAAAGTGATGATGGGAAAGAAAGCGAAGAAGAGGAAGATATTGGAATTCGATTAAAAGAGATAATGGGTACTGAGGAAGCGGAAAGCGCCATCCAAAAATTGAGAACTGGCGCCTGAATTTCACAAAAACAAAAGGCGAAACCTTACCGCCAAAAAAGAGCGAGGCTTTGTTCCTAAAGAAGCGAAACCTGTGTTTTCTTTGGGATTTTCCGATATGATAATAATAATAATGTCACTTTCGAAAGACAAATATCTCGTGTGGCGTCCTTCAGAATATATATGTCGGATGGGCGGTAGAACGTAACGCTGAAAATTTTTCTAGAGGGATCCTTTTCTCTCGCTAAATTAGAGAATTGGTGTAACTAATGATACTTATTTGTTTTTTGTTTTGTTTTTTTTTTTTTTAAAATTTAAATATGTGAATTTTATTCATTTTTAAATAAAATAATAATTTTTTATTTTTTATTTAAAAATATGAACTTTATTTTTTATATAAAAATTAATTAAATAATTAATAAAATTATTTATCACATTAATATTAATATCTAATTAATTATTAAATAAAAAATGTAAATTTGACATAAAAATAATACAAAATTAACATGTTTAAATAAAAAAAGTTAAAAATTCACTGATTTATTTAGAAATTAATAAAGTTTACATTCTTAAACAAAAAAAAAAAAAATTTTATATCCTTATCTACACTTTTTCTTTGCTGAATTAGTATATTCACTTGTTTAATATCATAATATATTATAATAGAAAAATGATTGAAAAATAATTTTTATTGTACAATTTTTTCATACAACCTTACTTTTCATTTAATAACAAATTCTTTTTACTCTTAAAGAACCCATAATATTTTATGTATTTATTTATTTATTTATTTAATAATATATAGAAGTTGTAAATAAAAATTATAAAAATAAGTTTTCTATATATCATTATCCATTGTAATACTAAACATACACTTCCTCCCTCATGGTGGAGCAAGGATTTGAGATGAGGGAGCCAATTTTATTGACATTTAAATCAAATTTGTGTTTAAAGTATTATTGTCTCTGGTCCATTTTAATTATATTAATTTGACTTTTGTATAAAGGTAATTTGGTGACTTTATTTAACAAATAGATATTATTAGTAACTACAATGAATATTTTAGAGTAATTTTGGCACTAGAAAGGTGATGATCTAAGGTTTTTTCAAAAAAAGAATAGAGAAATGTTAAAAGTTTAAAGATTTTCTTACTAATTTTTTGACAAAAAATATTACAAATTAAAAGGTCATTTTTATAGTTAATATATTAGTTTTAAAAAGTTACTAATTATTATGTCAACATTTTATTTTAAATTTAATGACAAGATTTACAAAAAAAAAAGTAATAATAATTATTTTCATAAATATTAAGTATAATTAGATGAATAAAATAAAATTTAAAGATAAAATTCCTAAAATACAAAAGTTGAGGATAGATTTAAAAAATTTTCAAAAAATTAAGGGGTCATAGCCCCCTGTGCTCTGCCATTGTTCCCTATTCTAAAATAACTATAATTCTTTTACTTTAAAATTTATTTTGAATTAATTGTTATT